TGTGTGTGTGTGTGTGTGTGTGTGTGTGTGTGTGTGTGTGTGTGTGTGTTTTATACTATATATGAGAAAGAGATTCTATTTTCAGATATTTTGTTATATTTGTTTTCTCTGAGATAATCAAAACATTTTTGACTTTTTATTAATGTATTTAATATTTTAATTATATTTTATTTCATACTTAATATATTTTAGACTTTAATGTTTTAAGAGTAATAAGTTTTAAGACTTGTTTTAAATCTCTTTAAATACTAGAAACAATTATTAATATTGTTTTTATTTAAATCTCTTTATATTTCAGATATGTTCTCTTTTTTTTGTCTGTGAACAAATTTAGTAGTTTAAAATTTATATATTTAAATAATAGACTTAATTTTGATATTGTGAAAATCACATTTTATAAATGTTACACACAAATGTAAAAATTAATGAGGGTTTAACTGCACAAATATTTATGTTCTAAAAAATTAGTTTGTATTCGCAAAAGTTTCTAAAAAACAAAATTTGCTTTTACCACTGCAGTTACAGAAGTTTTGTCTGTTTTCTATTTTAAGGTAAATAAATCCAAATATAGAAAGTAGGGGCAAGAAAATATTCAGTGCATTAACTGGGTAGTCCTCCTTAATGGAAATTTATTTGGATATGCACATAAGTGTTGCTGACATTACACTAATGGATTAGTTATTGGCCAGGAAGCTGCGTAAAAAGGGAATTCCTTTTATGTCACAGAAAAGCTCATATCTGTCCTTATTTCTTCTTGTTCTGGACTGAATGTTCCTCTTCAGCTCGTTTCAGCCGTGAGCAAAATGATTGTTGTTTTTTTTTCTAATAAGTAAACATGTCCCTTAAAATAACGTGCCAGTTATCAGCATAAATGAGCTTTTGAGCCTCACAGTAAAAGCGTAATGGGAAGTTTGTTTGCTGCAGATGGAGATAAGATAAGATCAATTAAAGTGAACAGTGAGCTCATTGATGAATGTTACTCTTCGGTTTGTTGCCAGGATGATAACTTTTCAAGCTGTTGAGGAAGGTAGGCTTTGAGGAAGGCTTTGAATGAGCTGCTGATGCCTTTAATGAGCCATGTAATTTGGGTGTTTGCAGTGAGTAACCCAATCCCATCCAACCTGAAGTCTGAGGCCAAGAAAGCTGCCAAGATCCTGAGAGACTTCACCGAGATCTCCAGCAGAAATGGGCCAGACAAACTCATCCCCGGTAACAACCTGTCATATTGTCAGCTTTATATACTGAGGGCTAGTCCAGTGCTCTTTAAATACTTGGGTTTTCTAATATATCTTAAAATGTGAAGTATTTTACTGTAGTGTAGCTAAAAGTGTGTACTCTACCATATTTTTGTTGTAGCTCACGTAATAGCTAAGGCTGAGGGTCTGGCCATCATCTCTGTCATCAAGGCAGGCTTCATGATCACAGCCAGAGGAGGCAGCGGAGTAGTAATCGCCAGGCTTCCTGACAAACGTAAGATCACCACTCCTTCCATGCTCTGTAAAGGTTTGGAATTTTGCACAGGCAACTGTCGGTGTGTTTCAAAAAATATAAACTTTAATTAAGAAGGCTGCTCAGGTAAGTCACCAGATGCCAAAATATGTGGAGACTTATGTTGTCTTTCTTTTTTTCATCTGTCAGATAGAACAAAGCCGTGCTCGATCAAGCCACAATTGTTTTGCTCCTTCCAACCAGCACTTCAGCCTCATTGACAAATAAAATGATTCACTCACAAGCGTCAAACTCCAGTCCTGAGAAATTAAGCTATTCCAGAAAAAAAAATTAAATGCTATTGAGGCATCAGCAGTACTAGCATGGTGTTCCGCAAAGCACGATTCTGAGTCCTCTATTGTTTGTTTTTACTTGTGGATATAACAGTTTGTTTTTCTACACAAAATAAATATGGTTTTGTAAGCTTGTATTTGTCTGAAGGATATAAGCACCAAAAGTCTGGAGAAATTGAAGACATTTTACAACAGAATTTAACATTTTTACAGCTTGCTTCAAAAAGTAGATTTGGTTTTTATAGCTAATTCCCCCCTTTATACAATTTTAGTGCTGTGAATTATAAAATCACCAGTTTAAATTGTATAAAGGCTTAAAGTTCGCATTTTATGCCATTATGTTCTTTGAAAGATTGATAGTGGCACAGTGGCTGTAGCTACTAGCTGTCTGCTAGGCTTCATGTTAGCTAATTGGAGTCCAATTAAACCCTGGTCTATGTTTGTACTGTTGGCACCTTTTGGGGGCATTTCGAATCCAAATATCTGAGGAAAATTACTTGCTGTGCAGTACTACGAGGACAGTCCAAGAACTCTGTGCTAAACTGTAGTGGAATTCTTGGAATTTATATGCTCTTATCTCTTAGCATGTGTCTGTGTGATGTAACAGTTGTACAAAGCAACTGAACTTCAAAAAAAAAAGATTGTAATCAATTGTAGATGGCATTTTGACAGTAGTATACTTTTGTTACCCTTCCAAGTAAAGTCTTTGTATGTTTGTAGAAACATGTTGCTTCTGGAATTTATCTGCATGATTGATCTGAGTGACTGAATTATTATTCCTCTGTTATTTGATTGTCACAAAGTATAAGATGAGTACACATTTTTTTTATGTGTTCTAGAAAGTCTGTACTCTTTATTAGTAAGGTAAAGAGAGTTCAACAGCAGAGGTGTCATGTTGGAGGAGGAAATAATAGCTGTTTTTTAATCATGGATTTAGCCGCAGTCTACGAAGCAATTCTTGTGATTTGCTGCTGTTTGCCTGTTGTCCTGTTTTTTCTTCTTATTTGGTTCAGTTTTTGCTGTTTTTGATCTTCCTGAGTCTCTCAATAATCCTTTTGTTGTTTTGTTTTGTCTTGTGACATTTTGGGCTCCTGCGGTTAAAAACCAGGCCTCCCTGCAGTGTTGGGAGTGTGCTGTAGTCATCTGACACGTCAAGCGTTTGATGTCAGTGAACTGGTCCGGCGGTGGCAGATGTTTGAGTTTGCCGTGGTGCCAGAACCCACCGAGGGTCACACGGGCCTTACTGAGTGGTGCCACCACCCCTGCTCTTCTTCTTCAGGCTCTTTTGTTGGTTTTCTGGATTTTCACATTAAAGGAGCAGTTCACCACATCTGAAAACACTGGCACCAGCAGTGTGAATAATCCATCCTGGCTTCAGCCATAAATATTATCCATGCTTGAGCTTTATTCTGTGTGTTTTTGTGTCTGCAGGCTGGTCAGCACCTTCAGCTATTGGCATCGCTGGTCTGGGTGGAGGCTTCGAAATCGGGGTGGAGGTATAATCCCAAATCTTATAATTTTATTTATTTGATTTCTGATTTGCGTTCCAAGATGAAACATTTGTATTTGTGTTGAATTTAGGGGTTCACAATAATTGCCATAAATGTATCAATAGTGTTTTTAAAGGTTGTGAATGCAGCGGTTTGCATCACTGAGATGTCAATTTGTCCTTTAATGCACCACATCCCTTTTTGGAAAGCAGAAGTAAAAGCTAATTTTCTGGTCCCCCCTCAGGTGTCAGACTTGGTGATCATCCTGAATTACCGGAGGGCCGTCGAAGCCTTCACAAAGGGTGGGAACTTGACGCTTGGCGGGAACGCCACTGTCGCCGTGGGACCTGTTGGAAGGTGAGTCTACTCCCCACCTCTCCTAACACAATCTGTCTGTCTGTCTTTTAATTGCCTTGAATGCTTTCTGTTTATGTAAATTACAGCTTAGGTTTGATTGTCCTATTCTGCTTAGAGATTTATGAGACATTTAATGACAGTTTGTGTTTTGAGGCCTGAAGCAGATAGCCAAACTGTCTGAGGTGGGGAAAAAAATCACCCGTGATTTACTTTAGAGGCCAATTAAGATGTTGAGGTTAATTTTAGAATAAGGTGGTTTCAGGGTGGGTTAACCGGTTTTGGTGCTCATGTATTGGCAGGTGTTTGTGGGCGTGGCTAGTTACATGTCAGTCGGTTCATTCTCAATAAATGTTACAGACAGACAACAAATGGTAGCCAGAGCTGAATTAGTTTGAAGAAGATGGTCAGTTGTTACAGTTAGTTTATGTTTGAGTGTATATGGTACTATGAAATTAGTCACATACAGTGATTGAATAACCCGCAACCAGCTATAGTTTTACAGACACAGCAGGAAATAAACCTAAAGAAGACTGCAGGTCCTTGGAGAAA